TATTTGTTATTTTAGAATGAATTCGATATCTCACCATGACATTTAGATAAAAATCGCCAAATCCGAAGAAAAATGGTCAAATCCGAAGTGACCCCCTATACTACACTTGAACCAAATTTAAAACAATAGGATAAATTTAATTTTCTGTAAAATGTGTAAAAAAGTATTAAATCTCAAAGACTGACAGAAAATGCAGCCAAAATAGCAGATCTCGAATACTAACATTTACAAAAGCAATTTTTAAAATTTTTTTTTTGCAAGTTTAAGTTATTACGAAACAATATACAAAATCCTCCAGTACGGAAACAGAAAAATGTACGATATTTGTACAGGGCAAGAAAATATAATTTATTGAAATAAAATCCTATAAAAATTTCTAGTACTTTCGTACTGTATTTTTGTACTTTCTAGTACTGTTCTAATCAAATTACGTACCCAAATGCCGCGATATGCAGCCAATACTGGAAAACCGTTCCTCTGCATGTTACAAAACAACAAATACCGTCACAGCATTAGTTAAAAATTTTTGAATTGGCGAAATTGGTAGATGGTATAATACGTGATAATCCGAGTTGATAATCAAAAATCAAATTTAAAATAAAAGTTACTAGAAAAGGATAGTTAAAAAGGGGTACAAAAATGTTTCGGTTGTGAGAAAAAAGCGCAATAAACGATATGTTATCAAAAAACATAAAGAGGGAGAAACAGAAAAACTGATCCAGAATTCCGGAATTTCCAGCTTCCATTGCTAACTGAAAGCTTAATTACAGCAGATTTTTTTACACTAAGAATAAAAACACAAAAAAAAAAATAAACAAAAACGTTTAAAGCATTCGTAAAATATTTCTGATCAATTTCGTGATGTATATTTTTGAAAGGCAAACTTCATTTCATAAAAGCACCTATAATATTTTACCGTTACTATTCAGTACAAAAGTTTGCCAAACATATATATATATATTTAAGAAAAAAGATTGTTTAGATCTTAGGAAAAGAAAATGACTCAATTGAATACGGACACAGGATATGGGTTGATAAACACAGTCAGCCTTACAAATAAAAATTTACATACTGAAATTCAAGTTATATAACATAAACATGCCTATGAATTTCATTTCAGAAAATGCTTTCTAAGTTTCCTAAAAGTTTTACACACCAGCCCAGTTTCTAACATATTCTTTTTCATACATTATCATGAGTTGAATGATATTTTTTCCGATGGTAAAAATATTCATACATTTGAACCACTAGGGATCAATGACATTTCACGTATATCGGCGCAAATGTTTCAACTTCCGAATATCTTGGAATACATATATTTCGGGCTTTGCATTCCCGAAGGATTCCTTTTTCTTCCCGTATATCTTTTTATTTTCAAACACAAAGGATTTACATTCTTTGAATGAAAGGTATAGAAGTTTACATGATCTATGTTTTCCTAGAAACCAACAAGTCAAGATAACCTTTTGTATGACACAATGTAGGGAAGAACTAAAAGTTTCATGGAAAAATCAAATTAGAAAAATCTGCTAGTTTAATATTGAAAAGAAATTTCAGTATTGTGCACAATTCTTCCTCATATACTATAATCTTAATTTTATTTGCTTAAAAATAAATACATCAAACTCTTTAATTGTTTATTAATGTTTCACTTTGAAGCTACATAAGGGATACTGGTGACAGGGGCGGCTCTAGTAGTTTTGCCGCTCCGAACAAGAATGGAAAATGCCGCCCCTCTCTCTAAAGCAAACAATTATAATTAAAAAAAATGAATAGTTCACATAGATAGACACCTACAGAATAATTTTTACAAAAGAAAAGGGAGCATAACAATTATATGTATTATTTTAAGTCCTAAAAATACAAAATAATTCAAAATTAAGAACATAACTATATGTTATTATTTGGAATGAGTAAAATGTAAGAGAAGGAATCACCCATTTCAGCAGGCTAATTTCTTCGAAAAAGAGTCGACTGATGGTGGGGATCACAAACGTTTATTTTAACATAGAAACTACACTCGAGACTAAAATAAAGAGTATCTCATGTGCTTCTCTATCAACCGAAAATTCCAATTACCCCTGTCCCCTTTTGGATAGCTGAAACCGAACATCGTATGGGTAAAAAGAATGTCCGTTGTGACCCCACTCCGGGCGCTGGGGAGAAAGTTACTAATGAAAGATGTGTAAACAAATTTAATGATTTAACATGTACTCCCGCCTCGAATTCAAGTTTCAACAGAAACTCGGGCCCTGAGCGCAGAAGATCTACGGGTCCCTTTCACACTGGCGGATCGAAATTTATTACCAGAAAATCTGGTTAAGTCCAGCTTAACCGGGCCCCTGGACGCCCGCCCCAAGTGCCCAACGGATAAACCGACACTGATTAAAGGTACAGAATACAAAACAAGGAAATAAGATACTTAAATAAAATACCAAATTCCGCCCAATAATATTTCGAGAAAGATAAAAAAAATTTTTATAAAAAAAAATATTTCTCAAGTTCGATCCGAATGCCGCCCTTAAGGCTGTTTTCGGCAAAAGTACGAGAGCTTGAACTAAACGCTGAGCACATTTTCAGACAGAAAAATATCTCAATTTTCATGAAAATTGGCAACATTATAACTCATACATCTGTTAACAATATAGCTTTTCTAAAATTTCAACATATTCAGTGAATATTATTTTTTTCCTTTTAACACGTGAAAGGACAGCTCATTTAACATTACGATACAGGAGAAAAAACGCGAAAAACATTTTATGCCAGAAAAAAAATGGCTCAACTCGGTCAAAAATGTAAAGTATGATAAAATATATTCTTCTCTAAGGGATAGTGAAACCAGGATGTAATATTAATTTTTCATTTTTTTTATATCTGAAAAAAATATACCTAATTCGGACCCTATTCTTTAACATTAACCGAAGACAGCCTTAAAATTTGACGCCCTGGGCAGGGGTTCGGTTTGTCCGGCCCTAGAGCCGCCCCGCCCCTTCTGGTGACGGACCTCATAATATTGAACCATGAACAAGTAATGAGGACCACATCTGAACTGGCACCACTCTCCAGACTTGAATATCATGCCAACACAAGGCCTTCACGCCTCGAGATACATTTAACGTGCATCAGCAAATCTACCTAATGAGCCCTTAGTAGTCCTTAAGACTCGAACTCGCGATTCGACGGATAACAGCACAGGTTAAGTGTTCGCGACAATGACCACTTGGCTAACACAAGCAAACTCGTGAGCCCCAATAAGTAAGTATACGGTTAGGCCAATATAAGAATGGTTAAAATATTTTAATAATCATTCAAATATTAATTTTATAAGTATTTGACTATACACAATAATAAAAAGAAATTACACCATACTATGTTGGATTTAATCTTTAGTAAGGATATAACCATTACGTTTTTTTAAAAATAATAATATGTTATTTTTAAACAAAGCCTACATTAACTTAAATCAGAGGCGCAACAACCCATAAGTGTCAAGGTTTACTGTGCCCATCTCAGTATACGTGACTTTGGGCCCTGAGGTGCATGAGCAGATGTTTCGGTCAGGCAGTCAGTCTGGCGCGAAATCCCCAGTGTTAAGTTCCCAAGAAAGCTTGGTACTTATTTTTCTACCCAGTGAAAGGATGAAAGGCTGAGTCGACGTTGCCCAGCCCGGGGTTTGAAACTCGGACCAGTGGTGTGGAAGCACAATGCATTACCACTCAGCCACTGAGCTTCAAAACAACAAGTCGATTGCGCGACTCAAACCCTGACCTACCACACGAATGCAGGTGCGCTATCACCTATGCCACTGCATTGGTATATATATAAAAGATGCCAACGGTACGCGATGTTCCCAGGGGGTCACCCTCCCAAGAACTGACCACACCCGATGATGCTTAACTACGGTGATCGGACCAGAACCGGAGTTTTCAGAAAAATCAGCAAAAATTAATACAAAAGAATGTTTATTTGACCCACATTCGCCGTTGATGGGATGTTTTTTAATGTCTGGCTACCGCCGAAATTAACATTTTCCTTGCCCGTAGTTATTGAAGAAAATTATAATCATACATTTTCGCTGTTAGAAAGATAATTATAGAAGATTATATACATTTAAAACAGCTTGGTGTAAATTCTTAATATATGTTACTCTTGACAAATACACCAAACTTTGTAAAAGCTCTTTAATGCATATTTTAGTAAAAAAATTTGCAAAAACCTTATGAATTTTAAAAAATTACCTCGATAATTTGATCATTTACTCGAATTTTACCACACATATCAGCTGCACTTCCTTTAGCAATACTCTTCACAAAAATCCCAGATATTTCTTCTGAAAAGAAAATACAAGAATTTACAAATGCAAATTTGATCTAAATTTTACAGAAATTAAATATTAAATACATAAGCATATACTTACATGAAAACTAAAACAATAAAAAAAGTTTTTTAAAGTTTAAGAATTAAAAAAAAAATCTGATCTTTCAAGAAAAATAATTTTGTAATACTGATATAGTCCCCTCTGTTATTGTTCAATACAACCACTGAACCTCTGATGATTGCCAACATTAACATTCCTAACTTCAAATAGTTTGTATGGTTATTCAGACAATATCAGTTTATTGTAAATTAGAATACGTCGTTCTCTTTTTTTTTTAAATAATATTTTTGCAACTAAATAAATTTTGAGTTAAGCTTTAGTACATCTATTTAAACTTACATAGCAGAGTCAAAGAGTAAATAGCAAAATGATGAAATAAATATTTCAAAAGAAAACTAAAATACCATTTAAATCAGTACAAATATCCAAAATGTCAACAAGGATAATTAAAATATTTCTGGCAAAATAATCATAATATGGCATCCACACATATTACGAATATCAAAAATATACTTCTATAAATATAACTGTTTCTTGAATGACATAACTGAAAACATTGCGGAATTCAAAATTGATCATAGTATGAGACGTTTTTTTTTTTTATTAACAAAACAGCATTGAGGACGGAGTGAGTGAGAGTCATTTTAAAGCTGTCTTTGGTAAAAGTACGAGAGCTTGATCTAAACGCGAAGCCCATTTTCAGACAGGGAAATGCCTCAATTTTTTCCATGGAAATTTGGAATATTATAACTCATACATCTGTTAACAATATAGTGTTTTCAAAAATTTTAAAATATTTCATGAATACTTTCTTTTTCGTTTTAATACGTGAAGGCATAGCTCATTTAACATTACAGTATAGGAGAAAAAACGCAAAGCACATTTTATACCAGAAAAAATTAATCTCACTCAGTTTAAAATGGGAAGTATGACACTCTCTAAAGGATATTGAAGCCAGAATATCATATTCATTTTTCATTTCTTTTATACCTGAAAAAATGTTCTAAATTCGGGTCCTATTCTATAACATTAACCGAAGAGAGCTTTAACGTCGCACTATATAGCAACATAATGGTCATTGGCGATGGACCACGTAATTCTGAAACACGATCAAATGATGAGGACGACACATGAGCTGGTGTCCTTAAACTACAACACCACGCCAAAGGGGGGGGGGACTTTGAGATCGACAGATTTAACGTGCAACAACCCCCTCTGCACAGTGGGTCTTCAGTGGCACCAAGACTCGAACCCGCGAATGTTTGGAACAATAGAAAATGGTGTAAATCCAACTTCCCCTCTCTACATTGATACTAATAAATGAACAAAATACATATTCTAAAAAATATTGGTATGTGGTTTAACTCAGTGAAAATTTGAATTCTTGTATGAAAAAAGTGAGCCACAGAAAATTGTATAATTAATGAAACAAACCACAAAGCTTATTATTCTAGCTTGTTAAAATATAACAATGGAAGTCTACCGAAAACCGAAACAATTCCAAATAAAAAATGAAACATATTCCTTCGAGATTCCAAATGGAACAGTCGAAGGAAAAGAAACCAGACGACACAGGAAGTTTATTTTTTGAGCAGTATTGATGTATTACCAACACCATAAAAATATTTATACGTAAATAAAACTTTTTTCTAAAATTTTAAAATTACAAATCTCAATAAAATTTCATTTGCGTCATACAAACAAAAATGCAATGAAACGAAAAGAAAGTAAAATAAGATGGAAACAAGAAATTATTCATAAATGTCATACATAGATTAATCGATACAATGATAGATTGCATTTAATGACACTTAAATAGGTCAAAAAGTAAATGCGAGACAATCAATAGCTAAAAATAATAGTCTCCCTCTATAGCAACAACATATCGATATAATTTACAGACTACAGCGCAGTCTGTGAAAGTTTAACTTTAAAAACAGTTATAAAAGGACATAAGAATTTAATTATTTAAGGTGCAAAATTTTTTCCCCAGCATAATGCATGCAAAAATTCAAAATACATTTGAAGACCAAATGCCAATTTTTATATTTAAGTCTCAAGAGTATTTATGTGTAGAATAGACGAGAAAGATAAAAGAAAATCGCTTTGTTGAGGAAAGCAACGGCCAAAATGAAAAGATGAAAACTTTCAACTTTTAAACAAAGTCGGAAAGGCTACAAAGAAACTGCGAAAAACCTTTAACTAGTTTCGATTCAATATACTTTAAGGATATTGGTTTTCTATTTGCCAAAGGAAGAACTAGAAGAGTGGAAAAATTGCGTTTGTTTATCTTTCAAAGCAAACAAGAACTTCATCACGAAACAATAAGGCCCGAGCAACAAGGAGCCGAAAGAACGGAGAAACTTGGACTGATAATAACAAACCAACCTTTAAAAAATACTCTGAAAGTAATTGCATCAAAAATTAAACTTTATGGAAAGAAATTTCATCACAGCCAAGGTATATCGTACGACAGTGACATGCACTAAACAAACAAAGGAGCGAAGATTAAAATAAATTTTTTTAACTATCTTTTAAAATATGTCCCACTTCCTACTATGCATAAATTGCTGATGCGTGTGGGGTAAAGGAAAAATATATTAAAAGAATTCCTTTCTTTATTTAAACATATTTGACAACATAGAATTAACATCAAATGAATCCTTTTCAGTTCAAATAAAATGTCTTTTAAAAACAGAACTGGCAAGTTTAACTTAATGGACTTGAATTTTTGTACATCGAAATTTAAATAAATATATATTACTATTTTAACAGTACACATGTGAATATATACCATGTATACATTCTCTAAATCATAATTGCAAATACTTTGTTTCAAAACACGCGTCTTATTTCATTTCACATTAAAGGATTGAAGCACATATTTTGACAGATTTATTCGTCATTACAAGAAAGAAAATATCATAAAAGCTTATACTTGCTGAGAGAGGTAGAAACTTTTAATGTAATTTCTTAAGTATAATTTCTAAAAATAATATTTCCCTTCACTTGAATATGTGAATATATTTTGTCTATTACATCTGCCCTAGTTTTCTTTATATTTAAATGTAGAAAAGAAATAAATCTAGCTCTTGATTGCTAGGTACTTGATCGGAGAGGATGCAGAATTTTTTTCCTCTCGTAGAAAAAGGTTAGAGCAGGGATGGGCATTCAGTCGATCGCGATCGACCTGTGGACCACCAAGACATTTTGGGGTGACTGCCTTTACTAAGATCTAAGGCGTGCATACTAAAAGAAACACATTTATGGAACACCAACGTTAGCTGGACTGGAGAATCGGCTTTTCGCAATCAATGTGACTGTGTTTACTTAAGCAAATGATTCAATAAATGTGTAGTTGACACATGTGCCTTCATTGGAAACAAACGAAGACTCTTTCATTGCCGCTGTAGGGGAAAAAAGCGATCACTGCGGTGCCACCCGAAGAAATGAATTTTTCTACGCCCACCGATTGAAGGGGAGAATAAATGTTGATGATCAGCTCTTTCCACGATACCATGGGATTGGCTATTAAGACATCATCATACACCCCCGCGCTTTCACGGGATTGCGTTCTCAAGTTGATGTCATGTCCCGCGATGGCAAGGGAAACGGCTGCGAACGTCGATTTCAGATTCATCCGTTCGTGTAATGTTCTCTGCTAACTGCACTGAATACATTCAGGCTCCAAGGTCTAGTAGACACTCCGTAGTTATTCAAGCATTCAACTTGACAATTTTGTTTTAATTCTGTTTTTGTAGTAAAAATTGTCATATTTAAAAAAAGGGGGTACAATGTAGAAAACAAGTGTTAAAACACACAATTTTAATACAGAATGGCCACACCTACGCCACTGAGTAGACCGCAACTCTTTAAAAACATTAGAAGTAGCCTGTGTGTGTGTGTGTATCCTGGAAAAGTCCATCCACCCCTGGGTTAGAGATACAGAATACACAAGTCCCTCTTCTCCTGATTTAAAATTACTTAAATGTACTCTTAGTTTGCTACTCTGCCTACCTTTTATCAAGACTGCAGACAGCAAAGATATAAGTGTTAACCAATAATTTAAGAACATATTTTTTAATACGAATTTAGAACGCTTAAGGGATGCTTCGAACTCAATTTATTTTTACACAAGCGGAACGAAATCATTTGTAACCTTTAACGTTAAGTTGCAATTATTTTACAAACAGACAAAATGCATCAAAAATATATTTCCTATTATGAAATTTCCAGAATATTTTTTTAAATGACCTGCATTTTGCCAGCTAAGCCTTTGCAGACACGGAAAGTCTCCAAGTGTTAGCGCCCATTCATTGGTGGCACCATCTAGCGGCGTCTCTTTCTATCATATATTTTTGAAGTTGGAATTTATTCAATTTAAGGTCTTGTGGGAGCTATATATTGCCGTGATTCAATTTCGCCGAGAGTACCAGAGCCAAATTGAAACTCAAGGGATCTTTTACACGCCACATAATCATATGACTAATGCATGCCTACGATTTTCGCATCCAGAAAATCTATCGACTCCAACCGGGATCGAACTCACAA